TACCTAACCTCTCTGGGCCCCAGATTCATTATCTGTAAAATAAGAATATCATTAATAACCATAACTCATAGGTGGTCTGGAGATTTGAAAAAGAATAACATGCAGACATGTTTAGCTGAGGGACTGGCTCATAGCAGACACTCATTTAATGGGTGCTCATAGCTGTTGCAGTGGAAACAGCATTAGCAACAGCTGGTCTGGAGGATCAAACCAGCTCAAATCAGACCTCCCCCAAACCAGGAGTTACAAAAATCCTTTCTCCCTCAACCTCTAATAGTTAAATAAAATAGTGCTCAAAAAAGTAACCTGCAATGTGCCTTCTTGTATAAGAGCTTATCTCCTTCTTCCATGATTCTAACCAAAAATTAAGACACAGGAGCTAACAAGGATGTCTGTGTGGCTTCTATACATAGAAGTTATAGTGTTGAAACCAAAATATGAGAATTTCAATTTCAAGTGAGGGTTTATGGGGATGATGAAGATAGTGCCTTTGAATCTGGGACACTGGGTCACCCTATTACCTCCAAAAATGGTTATGCAGATGCACAAAGAAAATTCCAGTAGGTCTTATAAGTGAGGAGGCTGCTGATTATCATTAGAAACTCGAACCCCCAGTGGTAGAGGCAGTACCATGCTCCTCTTGGTTCATTAAGCGCTTCTTGACCTGATTCTCCTCTGAAAGCCAGACTGACTGGCTGAATGAGCAAATCTAAGAATATCAACCCCACACATCATCTCTGCTGAGATCAACAATGCTTCAGGAATCGACCCCTGACCTGTCTTGGGATGAATGGCAACTGGGTTTGAGAATCTGTTGACCTTGCTTGAGGCAAACAAATGCTCCCTGGGGACTCTCAGAGTGGGGGATGATTATCAGCTGTTCCTCTGGAATTTGCTTTGTGCCCTCCCTATATCTTCTGCGTCTGTGCTGCAGGTCCCTGCAGGAGCTGGGCACAGAGACACTCCAAATAGCACAATCTCCAGAACTCATAACTGGGCCTTTCTGCCCACATCCCATGCACATACTCTACTCCCTGTGAACTGGCTGAAACATCTGAGTTCAATGTGCATCCTTCTCTCTTTGGGTGACTAAGCACCTGGACTTTCATCTCCCAGTATGCTCTGCATAATAGAAGCTTCAGGAGATGTTTCATTGTAAAAAGAATCCCATGACCAAAGAAGTAGGAGAAATTCAGGTTGTTGTCTCTCCCTCTTGGGGATTTGTGATGCCTTTTAGCATAGTAAAGCACCTGAGATGTCCTACAAGGAAAAAGAATAGAAACCTGCTTGACCTTGTTTGATCCAGATAGTCCCAAACTTATTTGATGACCAACTGACCATCTGTCCATCGATCCATCATCCACCCATCCAGCCAGTCATCCATCCATCCATCCATCCATCCATCCATCTTGCTATGTGATATCTGGCTACTGAAAATTAACTGTGTCTCAATCATGTGCAAAGTTCTTTACTCCTTCTCCTTTTTCCCCTCCTACTTCTTCATCTTCTTCTTCATCATCATCACCACAGTTCTACCATTTGAACAAATATTCAATGCTTACTTTGTGCCAGGCACTGCACCAATGTCATCATATGTGTTCCCTGTTTATCCTCTCTACAGCCCTATGAAATAGATCCTGTTAGATTTTTTACATTAGAGACAAGAAAACTGAGGCACTGAGAGGTGAAGTGAATGACAAAGGAAATATAGCTGGTAAACGAGGAGGTGTACCTTGAATGGGGGCTGCAGAGCCCTGGGTGCTAATTACTTGGTGAAGCCCTTTTCTGGCATGTGACCCGATGTAAATATTCTAAGAAATGCTGGCCAGTATGCAACTCAAGCTGAGTGGCCTCCTTATCTCCTTTACCCTCAACACCTCACTCGATCTCAACCTCTCCAATAGCCACTGGAGGCAAAGAAAGACACAAGCAAAGCCAATACAGAGAGCTGGATGACACCTCGAGGCTTGGGGCAAGACTAGCCTCCCCCTCCTCCAAGAGTTCAGGGAGTGGGGAAATCCTCCCCTCCCCCGCAAGCAGAGGAGGTTCAAGGCCCACGGAAGTGGGCTGGTCACTTGGGAACACCAGCAAAAAGCGAGAGCATGGGTGGGGAAGGAGAAAAGGGTGATCCAGGAGAAGGCGTGCTGAAGAGATTATCCTGCCACCTTCCTTTGTGATGCTGAAGCACCATCTCAACCTCTAGGGTTGTCTTAGCCTGGGCTCTTTCCCATACTAATGCCTCTTCTGAGGAGAAGTGGTGTTTCTTAACTCATATTTTGATGCATGGACTACTATGAGAATTTTGCCTTCATTCCAGAAAACTGCACATAATTCACAAAATTTTCCATATCATTACAGGGGATTGATGGCCCCTCTGAAATTCAACTGGGGTCCCTCGAGGAGCCTCTGGATCTCTATCAGATTTTTACATATATGGCCAATATGTGCAGTGCTTTTGCTAAAGGAAAGGCATGGATGGAGTCAGCATCCCTTAAGTTGGGCTCATGGTGACAGTTCAGGTGACTGTTCTCACGTGGAATCATGTTGACCTGCTTATCCCAGCACCGTGACTTTGAGGATATCTACCTGCCGCTCAGAGGACTCTCACCACAACTTGACAGGGATGAGGTTTTCAGAAAGGCAAGAAGGTCAAACAACTTGGGAAAGTGCTAAGGTATTCCATAATGTAAAACCAAGTCAGACAGTATAGAATCTAAACACACACCCTAGCTCTCCCGCCCAGTAATGAGCAATACTCCCAAGCTGGGGTCTGGCTTCTCTCTGATGAAGCCCTTTCCCCTCCAGCTCCAGGCTAGGAAACAAATGCTATCAACCCAATGAGTGGGTGGAAGGCATAGTAGGGCTCCCACCAAACCAGCGCTGGGGGAGAATGTAGGTAGGAAATACGTGCTTGCATTTTCAGAGACTCTGCAATCTGCTCTTAGAGACAAGACAGAGATAGGAGGGACCCAGAGCCAAGCTGTGCCAAGCCGTGCAGTTGAGCATCTGTGAGGATGAGCCAAGGGGCTGACCACTGCAAATGGTTTCTTCACGATGTCATGGCCAGGCAGCTGGTGGCAACAGAGAGCCTCTGACAGGTGGGCTTCTCAACTTCCCGGATTAGCAGTGCCCTTCTGGGACACTCTAGGGACGTCAGAAGAGGAACCACCCTAAGTGACCTCATTTCCTTCCTGATAGATATTACAATCTATATTTAAATATTTTTCAACAAACCATATATACCACTTACTATTTGCTAGATACTTTCTCACCACTTTATGTATTAACTCATTTAATCTTCATAGCAGTTTTATAAGGAAAGTCCTGTTATTATCCCTGTGTTACTGATAGGGAAGCTGAGGCACAGGGAGGTTAAGTCACTTGGTCAAGATCACACAGCTTGTGAGTGGTGAATCTGGCTCCAGACTATACATATATTAGTCAATTTGAGATCAGCTGAAATATATATATATGTATATATGTATGTATATATGTATATATTTTGGCTAATCTCAAACTGACTAACAAAAAAAAAGCTTTTTTTTTTTTTTTTAAATTATAATAGCAATGTATCCTATTGGCTAAGAACTCAGATACTGGGGCCACACCAAACTTAGGTTCAAATTCTGGATCTGAAAATTCCTGACTCTATCGTCCTAGGCAAATTATTTAACTCTCTGAATCTCAATTCACTCACAAATTCAGTGATTTATTTAATAAAACTTTCCTTATAGGGTTGCTGTGGAGAGTACTCTAAATCACGCAGCAATGTGCTAAAAATATTCCTTGGGCTTGGGTCCACTTTTATGAGCTTCACTCATGGTGGTTGTATTTTAGCACGAACATCTCTGTTTACATGAATGCCAGGCATTTAAGTGACTGCTCACTTCTTGCTTGCTGGTTGACCCCAAACATTCCAGTTTCATTAATCAATAAATCCCCATATTTGCTTAAGCTAGGTTTGAGTTGGGTTTCTATCCCTTGCAACTAAGAGATTCTGGACTAATTCAGTAGTGACGGTAAGAATAGTAGACACACACATGAATAAGACATATTTTGCTTATTTTTTTAAACAAACACTTTTATGGACCTTTCTGAATGCCAAATGCTATCGTAAGCACCTCACAGACTAACTCTTTTAATCTTGTAACAATTCTCTGACATTGGTACTCATAACTGCCCCATTCTAGAGATGAGGAAGCGTAACACAGAGAGTTTACATCATTCCTGGCTAGTTGGGTGGGAGGGCCACAGCTAAAGCCATGCCTGCCTGCTTCCAAATCCTATTTTCTTTCCTCTGCATGCTTTGCATGACCAAGGAGGTTGATGTACTTGCTAACTAATGAATCCTGGAAATCTACAGAGGAGCGGGCACCAATACTCAGGTGCCCGCATCAGACACATTGCGTCCATGCTGAAACCTCCACTAAATGAGCCCTAGGAAAAACTGCATGGGCCGTTAACTAGAATTCCAAAATATCTTTCCAGAGAAATCCCACTGCTGTGGAGCCATTCCAACACAGACTGCACAATCTCCAAATCTATTCAGACCCAGAAATAAGAAACGTCAACCTGAAATCAACCGACCACACAGTGCACATCTCTTCTTTTCAAATAATGTTTGGTGGAGAAATCTGTTTCCCCTTTCTACAAATGCTTCTAAACTTACCAGACCGGTTGGTTTTTAGGTACTCGTTTTTCTGCACCCCCACCTATGACAGATCTGAACTCAACAAGTCAGCATTCCATAAAGTATTTACTGTGTTCATTTGCATCTCCCCCAAGAGTACTGGATAGAGTGCAGTGTGGAAATTCACCCATTCCAGGGTGGCTGTTTGTTTTAGGATTACCACCCAGACCTCACTTCCTTGGAGACTCCCAGGCTGGCCTCAAAGATGAATGCTCTTTTTAGGACCAGAATAGAACAAAGGGACAAAAGGGAACTGAAGGATTTAAAATTAGGATAAAAAAGGAAAAAGAAAAAAAAAACCCAACTTGGCACTGGAGTGGCCTTCCTTACCCGCTTAAACTTACCAATGATGCCCGACTTTTAGTGTGGCTTATCCCCATATGTTCCCACACTCCCACTGGGACCTAACATTTGCAGGCGCTATTTATCATTCTGGCTAGTGGTGTGCTCATCTGCCTACCTCGCTAAGCAGCCCTTGTTGTTATTTTTATAATTACTGGGAGTCTTTTTCATGTTGCACTCTGCCAGAGCTCCAGCTTACCACACACCTGTTATACTCGGGACACATGGAGAGAAGGGGGTGGGTCTGGCAGTGGAGGAAAGGGGAAGACAGCCTTCCTGCTCACTACGAAAAGCAAAATCAAGAATGAAGACACTGACCAGAAGCCACTAGGTACCTCTTTTTTTTTTTTTTAAGCCTGGACTCTGTGCCAGTTTGTTATTTAATAAACATTCTCTGCTCCTGGGACTTTGTTTATCAGAACAAATGCTGTACCACTTTCTTTCTTTCTTTTTTTACAAATGTCAGCTTACTTAGTCATCATAATGACCAACACTGTATATCATCATCCCCATTCTACAGATGAGAAAACTGAAACAGAGACAAGTTAAGTACCTTGCCATTGGGCTCACAGATGGCAAGTGGCAGATTTGGACCGCACTGCATTCTAATCAACATCCCTGCCATGCACAGACGTCATCCTCACCACAGCCAGCACGCCTCCTTCTCCACCTCTGCCAGGACCTTCACCACCACTACCAGTATAAAAGTATTGACTGAGCCTTCTGTTTGCTGGGCGCTTTGCGGAGTGCTCTGCAGATTGTCTCATGCTGTATTCACAACAACCCTATGTTACTGATCCTGTTATTACCTCTACCTCACAAATGTGGAAACTAAGCTTCGGAGAAGCGAAGAAATCTGTCCCTGCACCTGGTCAGAGGTCCGCAAGATTCACGATGTGTTTAAGATCCGCAGCCAGTTTTGCCTGACACCTGTGAGAATGCATTTAACTCCTGCGCTCCCTTTTCAGGAGATGGCAGGTGGAGGCATTGCCCACTGGGCATTTCGTCAAACTGGCTCCCTGCTCCTCACCCACCATATTGGAAGTTCGTTGCTAGGATGTGAGAGACCACCCCGTGGAGCTGGGATACGACTTTGCATGTGGTAACTCTGCTACCAAACAATGTGTAAGACCAGCTGCTGAGATTCTGAGCTCTGGCCAAGTAACATCCGGGAGCTTTGGCCTGACATCTGCTGAAGCTGGCCTGTAATTCTCTTTGGTTAAGCCCCATGCACCCCAGGTCAGTCTCTTCTGAGACATCACCATCCTCACCAAAGCCCTCAGATGTCCCCTCCAGTGTGTTCCGTTTGTTCTCCTTTGACTGAACACCAGCTCTGGGGGAATGAAGGGGTGTCACAAAGAATATCAGGCTTGTTTTTCAAAACTTTCACACCTGTCCATCTCTTCTGTCAACTCTCAGACCAGGTGACCATCATCACGTACCGGAATTATTACTGTGGCCTCCTACCTGCTTTCAATCTTGTCCCCCTCTAATCTATTCTCCACAGAGCAGCCACACTGGTGTTTTTGAAGGCTAAGCTCAATCATATCTGTCCTCTGCTTAGAGTTCTTAGTGTTATTTCTCCTCCCTTTTAATTTCTTTTGGAGTAAAATCCAACCTTCCCCCCATCAGTGCTTCTAAGCCCCTGTGGTTTCTTTCTGGCCCCTCTCTGCCTCTTTCCCTTCTCCCATGGTGCTCCAGGTTCGCTGGCCTCTGCTCAGGTAACTGAGAACACCGAGCCATGGTACGGCCGGCATACATACCCTCCGCCTCAGTATGCCCGCTCTCTGCCACTCCAACCCCTGCCTCTTCCCAGCTTCCTCATCTCAGCTTTAATGTCACTTCCTCACAGACAGTCCTCTTCATCCTTGAATGCAACCCCCACTATTTTCGGCGGACCCAACTTTTTTTTTTTTTTCTTTCAGAGCACTTACCACAACTTGCGATACAAATTTGTATGGGGATTGCCTGCTTATTACCTGTCTTCCCCAGAAACCTGTAAGCTCCATGAAGGAAAATGAAGTTGGTTTCCTTGTCTCTGTACCCTCAGTGACTAACTCAATTTCTGAGGCAGGAGCAGAGGCTAAATAAATATTTGTTGAATGAATGAGCAAGTGAATTAATTATTAACCAATTACTTAAGTGAGGGGATGAGGTCTGATTTAATCATTAGGGATGTCACACGCTTTGCTATAGACAACTCGATACGTCTTTCATAAATAGATCATGAAGTATGAGAAACATTCTATAAATGGTTAAAAACATAGCATTTCTCTCCTCCCATAGAATCAAATAAACTCTCAAAAGTTTGTCTTATGTGTAAGCCTCTAGTTGTCTTATGTAATATAGTAATTGCTGGCTTGAATTAAAGACATCATTATTTTGGAGAGTTGCTCTTTTTCCGATATAGAAAGTGAAGGATCCATCCCTCATATTAACACATCATCTCCTTGGCATGCTACATGACTAAGGAGGAAATGTGATTTTATTTTTTGAGAAATTGATATTTTTCACAAAGCCAAGAGGAGCTATCAGAATAAAGGGATGTTTATTTGGGTGAATCACCAGCTTTGCACAAATCCCAAGTGCTAATTGCATAATGGGTCTTTACAAAATGCCATAATATGGGTTCGGCTGGTTTCTCTGTTTTCAGTTTGAAAAATAGATTGTTTAATAACCCATCAAAGCTATATGTAAACCAAGTAAACAATAGAGCAGATGTTGACTGTTGTCTTGTGCCTCGTAGACATAATTAAAGACAATGAGACACTCACAGAGTCCTATAAGAGAGGACAAAGGCAAACACAAAAATCGGTACAATATAAATGTAAAGTGCATTTGCTGGACACCTGCTTTCTTAGTCCAAAATGCTGTCTCATATTTCTTGTGATGAAAAAATTTTGTAACGTTCTTTATTTACTTATATAAATATGTACCTCCTGTCCTCTACTTTTCAGGAAGGCAGGACTTTTATAAAACCTAGTCTTTTCAACTGAGTATTCGCCTCAATTTCATTACTGCTAAGACCCTAGACAGTATCCAGAAACGTTTCTAATTTTCTCATAAGCATAAATGTGAATAAGAACCAGTTAGCCAAAACTTTCACATTTATAAAAGAAAATTCAAGCCCCCGTTTGGGTGTGGGTCAGTTGGGGCTCTATTCACTAAGTCTCAGCAGTCACTCATACATTTTTTTAAGGAATTCAACCAAATTGACATATTTATTTCCTGAAAGCTTCACATATCTTTTTTTAAAGTCAGGCACATTTCCTAAAATCATGATTTCACCTTTAAAAAAAATAATAATCCTATTGGATAGAATACTTAGTGTATCATTCCAATTTCTAAATATTCTTTTTCCCTCAAACTCCTACTCAGATTTCTGTTAGGTTTTCAGTTCTTAGTTCTACAGGGGGAAAAACAATGTAAGCACACACAAAATGTAAAGCATGATATAATTAGGAGAACGCAAGCACAATCAAAAAGAAAAAAAAAAAAACCAGGGCTTTTCTCTGCAGATATCTTTAAAGAGGCATTGAACATTCAATATACCATTTGATTATATCATTTTTTCTTTCTAATTAGGAAAAAAAAAAAACTGAGGTTAAAATCAGTTTTCTGTGGCTTACTAGACAGGAGAAACTTTCCTAGATCCAGAATCTTCAATTCCAAAAACAAATGTCTTCACTCATTTTCAAAACAAAGCAGAATTCTTTTTCTGTGAATAACTGAAGTTTTTTTTTTTTTTTTTTTTTAAGCCTCGAAAATCCTATTGTTTAAAGAACACCTGAATTTCCTACTGATTTGTAGCAAATAGTGGCCCTGCCTCTGATACCTCCTGGCTCCCTTGTCTGTTGTTTTTGATGATACAGAAGGAAGGGGGATTCTAATGTGATCTTGCATCTCTTTATGCTAATAAAATGGTGTCAGCCCATTTTCACTGACAACACCATAAAGCATAAACACCAAATGGGAAACAAATAGGGCCCTGATAACACTGTGAAACGGACCAATCAACCCTGAAGCACCTAAGATAGATGGCACCCCTCCTTCATTCATTCTTTATAGAAAGGCAGTGAAAATGTCCCTAGATGAATCTGATTACACACACACACACGCATGCATGCATCCACACATGCACGCACATGCACACATGATCTCTGAAGCTCAGGAAGGTTGTAAAGCACTAAATTCTTTTGACTTATGGAGCAGCCTGCACTGCATTGAGCAGAACAGCATGGCAAGCCAGGACCCCGCTCCCAGAAATTCCTTTATTAACACGACCAGGCCCCGCAAGTGAACAAAAGCAGTGGTGCGGGGTATATAAATCATTAATACGGTGCCGGGCAGTGACCGCATTTCCTGTGTTAGTTGGAGAGCTCCTCAGCACAACGGGGATTTGGGGATTGGAAGTGGCTGCGGAGAAATGCACTCCATCATTCTCGGAGCCGAACATTCCCATCAGCCCTGAGCTCTCTCCTCTCACCTTCCTTTCCCAAGTCTGAAAGCCTCCGTGTGTGGTGCAATTTATTCAACAATATTCCTAATGACTTAAAACTAAAATCATGAAAAGCTTCAAAGTTGAAAGACTGCCCAACTCTTTCCCCTTTTGACAAGTTTTGCCTTTCAAAGAAAAGAGCCAGGAGGACGCTGTCAAGTGCGCAGGTCTGGCCACAGGGATGGCTGAGCAGAGGCCGGGGTAGCTCGCGCGGAGCCAGCGGCCTGCAAGGCCCGGGAAGTCTGCAGGGCCAGGATCACGTGATAGGTGTCCTTTCAGGGGCCAGACTGAATTAATGCTCTTCCCCCTTCAGATCTGCATCTAAAAAACGAAATGATTCGCATTGACTCCCTAGAGCCCTTTTGTGGGCGATTAAATGAGGTAATCCATGTAAAAGTGCTTAGTAGTGCGCTTGTCACATAGCACTCCATAAAAGTTATTGATTATTTCATTATTTTAATTATTTTATTATCATCATCATCATCGGAAGGGTGGCTGGATTTTCTCTGTTTACCTAAAATGGGCTTCCACACAGCATCTCCTGTTGCTTACAGAGGAGCCTCACTTTTTGAATGGAACCAAAAGGAGACTTAAAAAGAAAGAAAAGAAAAAGACTGTTCTCAAGAATCCTGAGTCACATGTTCTAAATGGAGACCCCCAGTGGAAGGTTCTGCCATTGCACCATGAAGGAAAGAATTTCTCCACTCAAGCCTTCCTAGTTTAACTTCTCATTGCAAATGAGTAGGGGGGAAAAGGAGGGGTGGGGGTGGGGGTGGGGGTGGGGGGAGAAAGAAAGAAAAAAAAAAGCATAGTTTTATACAGATTATTGGGATGAAAGAGCCTGTCAGAGGGTTTAGGTAGAGACAACAGATCCAAAGCAAAGTCACTTGCAAGAGGCACCTTTGCATTTCTAGAAATTCTAGGAGTGGCCCAGAGGAAGGCAGATTTAAAACTAGGAGTCCCACACCTTCCTCTTTTGCTTCAGAATAAAGGGGACGAGTGATCAGACGGCAGTGGGACATACACTCCTTCTCACCGGAAAGATCCAGGGTCTGAAAATGCATGTGCCACCGGGACAGGGCCATCCTGAGCCTGGGGCGTTCATCCGGGTGCCAGAGCCCAGCACCCCGTACCTTCAGCACCCAGAAGGACTGTAGCAGGCCGCACGCCAAACTTCAGCGTGCGCCCAAGTCCCCTGCATCCCAGAATAATGACATTCTGAGTGGAAATAAATGAAGCCCCTGCAGTGTGATTCTGTCAGCTTTTGAAAGTAAATAACTTTGCTAGTGACAAGAGCAAGACAATTTTTATTTTCCCTCCTCCTGTCACAGAGCATTAATTGAGCTGTGCAGCCACATTACATCCAGCACCAGCAGCAGGACTGACAGTTGACAGGAGGAGGAGGGAGAAGTCACCCAGAACAGGCAGGAGGGACCAAAGAGCCCAAGGGAGATGCCCAGACTCCACGTGTCTGTTGCCCTTGGTAGGCCATGGGTACACCGATCATGTGGGTTGGGGAGAAATGGAAAATAAAGGTGTATATTCAGCTTCGACGAACAGATGCTACTTTTCCTTAACACAATCATTCATTCACTCATTCATTTCTTTAACAAACATCTAGTGGCTTCTCCCTGTGTCCAGGCACTGTGCTATGTTTCAAAATCGGTATCGTCCTTAATCTTACAAAGAACAGTATGAAATGGTTATTCCTAGCCTCGTTTTTCTGAAGACGCAACTAAAGCCCCAAATCAAGTAAAGCAACTTGCCCTTTGCTCAATCCACGTGGATCAGCTAATTGAATAACACAGTTGGGATTAAGCCCTCAGCTCATGACTTCTATCCTATATACACTCCAGAGACGCCAATATTTAAACCATGCTTTGGCGGGAGCTGACACCACTTGGTTGTAAAAGGATGTAGGTTTCTCCTCTGAATTTTGCAAGACCCTTGAGATGGACAATTGGATATGTCCAAAAATAGGAAACATGGACCTTGCCGTTCATTCTGTTTATAGCTGCTGATATTGGTTGCTGTTAATGGAAGACTCCTCTTGCCGGGGGAGAGATCGCTCAGCTCTCGGCCCTTACCCTTGCACGAGAGCAGACTCGCCCCGTGCCTGGATTCAGGCAGAGCAAGAGAGCCCAGCGACTGAAGGGAAGAGCAGGATGTCTGCTGTTGTTTTTGATAAGGGGAATCTAGTCCTCGAGGTGAATCCTGGGCAAACATCAAACGCCAAAAAAGAAAAGGCTCATTAAGACTAAACCTTTTGTGCATTTACTCATCAGTACTGGGAAATCTGAGGCACTTAAATCCTATAGCTGCAAAGGGTTGGGGGGGGAGTCCTTACATCCCTGGGAACACACACTAACCTGAACGCTTTTCACTCTGGCTCCAATTCCTAATTTTGATTCTGTGTGTGTTTAAAAGCAACATAACGACCAGGATCAAAATAGGCTGAGGCTGCTCTCACCTAGAGCCTGGTCAAGAGTTAGAGACCACCACACCCCCTGCTCAACCCCATCACCTCAAAGGCCCCTGCACGCTGTCGATGTTAAACACGTGGTCATTCCCCTTTACCTTGTACCATGACAGTTGCCCTGCCAGAGGGG